ATAGGTGTAAGTATTCAGCCAGTTCCTACCCCCCCCCCCACCAATATAAACTTTAAAAGTGATTATTTTTTTCTAATTTGATACCAGTGATATACAGATGTTGCTGAATACTTTTTATGCGTTTGTTGGAGAATGACATAATTTATATCACAAATTACAGTCAGGCAAGAAATGTGCTTATTTACTATTTAGAGGCCGACATGTCAGGTTCCGCGGAACGGCGGGCTTGGGGTTTCAAGCCCCCCCCCCCCTCCCACCCCCACACTTTTGAAAAAGTATATTAAAGAGAATTAAATAGAAAGAAATAGAAAAGAAAGTATGCTCATGTAACCGTAATTAAATGCCCATACCCCTGAGCTAATTCCGGGGGCTCTGCCCCCTGGACCCCATCTTGGGCCCTAAGGCTGGCCCCTGGATGCTAATCTGACCTTAATTGTAATGCCTAAAACCCCTGCGCTTCCAGGGGCCCGGCCCTTGGAGCATACGCCAATTAGTGACCTGCCAGTGTCATGAATATGGTATTAAAATATGCTCATCTGACCGTAAGTACGAAGCCACGTACAATCGATTACAACAGTAATTGTGGGGCCAATATCACGAGTACGCCTTCATAGAATAAATGTTTTAAAGAAAATATTCACTTCTACTTTCAAAAGGACTGGCCCATTTGCTTTAAAAATTTGTAGAGAGTTATTATTATGTAATTTCTAGAAAAAATGCCAACCACATGATTTACAATGAGTCTAAATACATTGATTTGCCGAGTTTCTTCCTTTTTATCAAATATACACGTAAAACAATGGGGGACAGACTGCGCGGATAGCAATCCGCACGGATCGTCCCTCGGACGATCCGTGCGAGCAGAAAACCCGCATATTATGTCCGACGGACAAACGAAACTGGTAGGACAAACGGCGCGGTCACACCGGCCGGCGTATTTTTTATTTACACGCTAGCGAGGGGAATTTCTCGATTAATTCCAATGAAACCGCTTAAAATTCCAATTTACATCCAGGAGAAAGTTTGCCTAACTTTTTCTTGAAACACTTGAACGGTTAAAGAAAATGTTTGTGTTTCTAATCTCCAAATATTAATATTATTCTGCATCAAATATAAAACATTGATTTCTACTGTGATATGTAAAGGCACGAACTTACGTTAATACATACACATATTTTTTTTGTAACCAAGAAGGTGCACCATGGTAATACATTTAACAAACACATCAACATGTTACCTAGACAACTCATCACCATAGCCATTGTAAAACCATATATTAATGATACATGTAAAATATAGATTGAAGCAATTCTCGTCGATTGGCTGTATCCTGAGTGTGATTTATATAATGGATTTTGAGTAACATTTGCATCTACCTGTAGTTGAAGAATAGATACAGTGTGTAACATCAATTAAGTTGGAGTTCAATTGGAAGGAAGTAACGAGGAATATTAAAGCAAGGGAGACTGGGAGATGAGGAAAGCAGGAAGTTAGAAATTGAGAGATTACTCGCGTGATAGCCTTGCATTAATGAATCCTTTATATAATGTTGTCTTGAGAGAAAGTAGACGATTTTTTTTTTTAATTGGAGATTAGTGCAAGCATTAGATATATTGGAAATAGAATTAATGAGAAAGTTATTTTTTATCGAGATCAATACATGGGGGGGCACCATCAAAATAGGGCACTTTCTGGAATATAAGGTGCACCTACAAAGGGAAACATCAAAATGTAAATCTACCCTATTAAGACATTGATAGACGTACGCGTAACGCATGTCACACACAGAAAAATGAGAAGAAAAGAAAGAATAATTTTTTTTTTTAAAGAAGATAGAGGAAAAAGAGAGAGACAGAGAGAGGGAGAGAAAGAAAGAAAGAAAGAAAAAAGGAAGAACATGAAACTTAACTTTACACTTAGGCCTACATATTACATTTCCGACTGAGTTGGCTCGATATGTGCTTAAGTAGTCTGCGGACGAAAGTACAACAATACGAAAACAGAAGTTATATGAATTTGTCTTTAAGAGAGAAAGAGAGGTTAAATTCTAAAATAAAATGAAAGGGGTTATGTGACTCTCAAGGAGGAAATTACAATTTCTATCGCTCATGACGACTATTTGGAATTTCCTAATTTTTTTTAAAGTTCAAGAACTTCCTGGGGCTCCGCCCCATGCAACAGTCCCGGCAACAGCAAATTATTTACACAATTTCTTGCTGTCTGCTGCCTCGAGATCACTGGAGCGAAGAAAGGTAACATATAGCAAGAATCCCTATTCAGTGAAGGATTTATCCCTTTTATTATTAAAGACTCCCGACAAAGGCTCTCCCTGCAAAATTGGAGAGAGTTTTATGTAGTTTAAGCTTCTAACAACCACGCCCGTGGACCTTTTATTATTTACACAAAGGTAAAAGTGTATCGCAAGAATCCCTATTCAGTGAAGGATTCATCCTTTTTATGCAGATGCTTCTTCTACCATTCTTGACCAGAAGTGCGTTTCAAACTCAATGATATGGGCATCATCCCATTGAATGTAATTGTGTCCAGTGTTACGGGTTTGTTTTGCTACTTGCTGCCTAATCTGAGGGCTCTGTTGTGCTCTTTAAAAAGAGGACACAATAGGGGCGGCGCAATTTAAATATCAAGGAATGTATTAGAGTTTATTTCTAAAATGAAATGAAAGGGCTATTTGACTCTCAATAAAAACTCTAATCCATCCCTTGAAATTTAAATTGCACTGCCCCCATTCAGTGTGCCATTTTCAAAGAGCACAAAAAGGCTTCAGATTGAAGATTCCATCTCATAAAATCGTCTATAAGAGAGAAAGAGAGTTTATTTCGAGAGAAAAAGTGAAATGAAAGGGCTATTTGACAAGAGTCCTTTCATTTCATTTTAGAAATAACCTCTTTTTTCTCCTAAAGACAATTTCTCTCTTGAAAAGGCTCTGCCAGACCCCTCAAGCTCTGCCATGTTGTATGGATCCATTAGAAAGCAAAATAAGCCTACTCAATAATTGATATATATTAAAACGTCATAGCCAGGGCTCAAATTCATTTTTTGTCCACGGGGGCTCTTCCCCCCCCCCCCAAGAAGAGCCCCCGTGAGCCTTCTCACGGGGGCTCTTTTAGTACTGACGGGGGCTCTTTTTTATACAAATATCCATTGAATTGGTACCTACATGTATGATACTCCTCAATTATTTGCTATTTCATCATTATCATTCCAATCAGCATTTTCCCTCTTACAAATTTACAAGCTACATAGCTGTTACTGGCCTGTGTATATAATATATACGCATACAACACTGATCTTTATGATGTCTTTAACGTGACATATCTTCTTCTCCCCTTGCAAACGAGAAAGAAAACAAGGTCATTAAAAGGGATTAAGCGACAAATAATGATTGTGATTCAAATTGATGCGAATATTATTTTGTTTGAATAAGCACTGCTATTCACCCGAATCTTCTTTGTAGAAACAACTTTTACAAATCTCAGTCATGCTTACTGAGTTGAGACTCATAGCGATTCATCCAAATAAGAAATCCAAGTAAGAGGCATTTTGAAAGTTTTAAGAAAATTCTTTCAAATTCCAGGATATTGGGTGTTCTTTTTCAGGAAACTTTATTTAAACGAGTGGAAGCACTGGCGGTTCTGTTTTTTTAAACTGTAACAATTCTCCTTGGATCAGATATAGACCAAAAACAAGCCTCATTATCTTCAGTATACAAGTGTCATTTCGGACCTTACAGCTTTCATAGAAATCGCTTCTGGACCGTCAAAGAAAAAGTTTGAGAACCCCTGGTCTACGCATTATACACATCAGGACCAACTTGACAACTTGACAAAAATTTGAGGGAGGTTCGACCCCCCCCTCCCCCTCCCCCTCCCCCCTCCCCCTCCCCCCTCCCCCCTCCCCCCCCCCCCCCCCCCCCCCCCCCCCTGCGTACGCGCCTGCATGTGCATCCCCTTCCTCCTTATTCCCTTATCCATCGTTACGGTCACTACTATTTGAGTAGGGCCGGCCCCCTCCTTAATAACGACTCCAAAGCCATCAAGAATGACCCCATAATTTATAGATTACCATTCTGCCGTTCTTTGGAGGGGCCGGGCGCGGCCTTTTCACAAGTGTTTCTACACTAACCTTTTCATGCACTCCGGCTTAACATAAACAAGCATGCTAAGATTGTTTTGAAAAGAAGCATAATTTCGACCCAGTTTCGCATAACCTAAAAATAAGAATATGGCCAGTCACCCCTTCCCCCCCCCCTCCCCTCAATGCATCCGCCTTCACGCACCCCCTTCCCCTTGTCTTTCCCTTATTCGTCGTTACTGTCACTATTTTTTAGTGCCATTTCGTTGTCTTTCTTTCTCCCCGGCTCCTCTCTTCTTTTTCTTTCCTCTTTTTTGAACTCTCTCTCTTTTCTTTACTTTTTTGTTCTCTTTTCTTTTATCTTCTCCTTTTTCCCCCTTTTTTTTCCTTCTTTTTTTCTTTCTCTTTTTTCCTTCTCAATTTATTTTGCTTCGCCAATAGGGGGGGCCGCGGCCGTTTCGGCCCACCCCTGGATCCGCCACTGCATCTGGTACTATTTTAAAAGCTTGGAGTCTCCCGTGAGCATGTGAAGCGTTTGTGGAAATAATGGTTAACATAGTAGCAGTTAATTCGAAATTCAGAGAGTAAGGAACCTTGTCATTATTATCCAATGTGGTTTTGTTTACAATCTATTGCAGGTATTTTTCTTTCTACATCGACTGTGTTGTTGTTGGTTATTGTATTTTATGGCCGCAATCAGTCAATTTTGACTGGTTTGATTGTAATTTGTCCAACCTACTCACACACACACAATCTCTCCCTCCCCCCTCTCTATCTCTCTCTCTCTCTCTCTCTCTCATTCCCTCTCTTCTCACCTTTTCTAAATTCACTGTATGTACCATCCATCATCACAGCTCATAGAAAAAAATTTATCTTAAGAAACATTGAATAAGCGCAGCTCTATAAAATACAAATATCAGTTAATTTATTACGATATATACATAAAATGTAATTGATAATTCTACAATTTTTCTTCTATCATAGGCACCTTAAATCTATTAATCCAATAATATTTTTTTGCTTAAAAAGGCACATAGAATTGTACATTTCCTGATCGTAACGTTTAATCATTTAATTAAAATAACCGCTTGATTTGGAGGTATTAAAGATTACCGGTATTGCAATGTGTCATTCAGATGGCAATTAGTACTGTATTACATTGACATTACATATGTATATACAGTAATAATTGTATCGTATTTTCTGAGATCACTGAGACTGTACATTAATCTAAAAACAATTTGACCCCTAAAAAATAATTCTACTAGTATTATCAAAAACTAGAAAACATGATGACACCACAACCTACTGTTAAATCTATTTCAAATATCAAATGCCATTTGAATATTGTAGACAAAATAGTAAAATTTTTCGTTTTAACATTCCAGGTTTCAAGGTAATACAGCTAAAATAATAACAGCTAGTACAAAGATTTGTGTTCTTTGTGCTCATCCATACCATACAATTTGTTCAAAATCGGATTAAATAAAGGACATTAGTCCAAGGTCCAAGTTTTCAATTGGTAAATGTGATTTAGACCCAGGTTGGAGTATAACCGAATTAGTAGAATCCAGACCTAAGAGTGTATGGAACTGATCAACCTAAAGACTAATCTTCTAATTTCTCCATGGCGATGCGCATGCGAGTCAATATTGTGTTCTGGGCTTCCTTGGCACTTGCTTCTGTGAAGGACTTGGTGACCCAAGGGCATGAGATGCGTGCATGGTAACTGAGATAAGATCCAGCCCACGGTGCCCCGATCTCGGCTTCACACCCCATGTCACATGACCTATCACTGTGCCATACCAGACGGAATAGTGGAAATTGAGAATACTGTTGGGTCTGTGTGCAAAAAAAAAGGACGAATGAATAATCAAGTTTAGAAGACCAAATATACAGAGGGTAAAAAGAAAGAGAGTTTAAATGTAAATTCTTTCTTTCCACAAACTATTTATTCAAAAATTATATAATGCATCTGTGAAAATTTGAAAAGTATATAACATCAAAGAATGGAATTTAAAAAAAAAGAGCTGTCAATGCAGTATGAATCTTTGTACAAAATATTTTAATATGATTTAAAACTATTGCACACTGCTTTGTCCATTTTTATTTCAATACACAATTTTCTTATCTCTGTCAGTTGCTGGACTCTGCGGTAAACCCTGATTTATAAAGAGTAGCTCCTTTAATTGTTCTAAGTTCTAACAAAAACTGTTGTGCTCTTTGTGATCCCACCACTTTTACAAATATTATGCAATTTGTTAATTGATGTATATATTGTTTTTACAGTAGAAAATAACAGAATAATGATGGGGGATTCAAAATAAAACAAAAGGAAAGTGAAGTCTAAGATACCAGTCTAGGATCAAGAATAAAGTCCTGGACAAAACTGGTAAACTCAAGAGATTTTAGGGGCTGAAAGAGTCAGAAATTAAATGAATTATGAAGTTTCATTCATTGCCACTTTGCATTAACCAAGCAATGCACTGAATATACTTTGGAGAAAAAAATAAAACAAAAATCTTAAGTATCCTTCTTACTCTGTAAATTCCATTTTGGTATCAAAGATGATTGGGAGAGTGAAGTTGAAGACAGTGGGAACATGCTCCTCTATCGTGTGATATTCTGTGAGTATGCCATCTGCAGACTTCTCACTGTGAATCCTTTTTGTTGAAACTCTAAAGGAGGTACAAGAAAAGAGAATATTTGCAGAAGGTGCTGAGTAAATATTTGTATATTACATTGGAATTGAAGGGGGTAGCTAAAATTGCTAACTTGTTTCCTCTGCTAAAACATCTAATAAGTATTTTTTTGTAGAATAATTTTTGAAAATTAAACTTTGAAAGCATATAATTATAAAATATAGATAAATTTACATAAGAAATGTAAATGTAAAGCTCAGGGATTAAATATGATAACCTAGAATATACAAGGAAAGAATACACACTGTAGCTTGAAAATACATACATGTTCATACCAACATAGATGTTGAAAATTTGGAGGGGCCTAGTTTTAAAATGAAAAAAAATGAGTCATGAAAAATAAGTCAATCAACCAGCTGGACAAGAATCCTTAATCAAATTCATTGGATGTTCAATGTTGGCAGAATTGCAGAGGCCCCAAATCCCAAATACATTCAAGTAAATTTAAATTGATTAATTGTGTGATCACAAAACAGAAGAAAATACAAAATAAGTTTTTAAGGAAGTTACAAAAACCAAAGTGTGTCTATTTTTACAGTGCATTGTATTTGTAAATGGAATTTGCATTGTTTGTTTAGTTATAAGTCATGACATGAGTCATTTATGCAAGTCTACAGCACTGGATTTGTTTCCCCTTTAACGACTATACATAAAAGAAATGAATCAACCGCCTTCCGATATCTAGTTAATGATTAACATACATGTAGGTCACATCCACAGCCTCAGGTCAATGCACGAGGCGCATTCTGCTATGCTCCTCGATCGGACGAAACTGTAAGGTGCACTCACGGGAAAGTCGGGGCGGACAAGAACGTCATCGACCTGTTGGAAGCACGTAAAGAAAAATACTTACACATACGGTTGGAATCTCTCGATAATATCCATACTGGAAATTGCCTTATAGACAGTCGCCGGCTTCTGGTAAATAAAAATCCCAGATTCTATTTCAAAGCTGGACTTCATAAGCATTAAGTACACAAATACGGCTAAAAGGGCAACAAACACAAAGTTGTTCATTATGGCAGCTTGATGTTGCTCAAGATCAGTTCAAGATAGTTTTGGAAGCGTGCCAAGGTACCGGTATTGCGGCCTCATGAATAAACATGAGTATATGACGTCACGAACTCGCTACGAACTCGCCACGCCTACTCTACCCCTTACCATTTAGCGGGTATCTATGTTAATGTTGTCGCCTCTATAATCTATTTTCCTTGTACGTAAGGCCGTACCTACACCCCGACTATATATATATATACCCAGGGGCGTACGCAGGGGGGGGGGGGGGGTGTTTTGGGGGTTCAAACCCCCCCTTTGGTATTTTAATGTATGTAAACCCCCCTAAAAAAAACCAAACCCCCCCCCCCCATTATTAAAAAAAAAAAAAAAAAAAAAAAAAAAAAAAAATTATACCCACGGCTAACCTAAATAAGGTGACCTTACCTCCCCCCCCATACGTAAAAAAATGTCAAATTTTGAAATTTTGAGACCAAAAAAAAAAAAAGTGTCCGCTTACTCCATCTATCTCCATCATTTAAACTTGCTCGAACTTCATCCAACCTAGCACCCCCTCTATACAGCCTAGCACCCCCTCCATATTAAGCCTTAGAAATATTAACTCCATCTATCTCCATCATCTAAACTTGTTCGAACTTCATCCAACCTAGCACCTCCTCTAAACAGCCTAGCACCCCCTCCATATTAAGCCTTAGAAATATTAACTCCATCTATCTCCATCATTTAAACTTGTTCGAACTTCATCAAACCTAGCACCTCCTCTAAACAGTCTAGCACCCCCTCCATTGAGCCTTGGAAAAATTATCTCCATCATTTAAACTTAATTGCACTAACTTCATCCAGCCTAGCACCCTCTCTATACAGCCTAGCACCCCCTCCATATTAGGCCTTAGAAATATTAACTCCATCTATCTCCATCATTTAAACTTGCTCGAACTTCATCCAACCTAGCACCTCCTCTAAACAGCCTAGCACCCCCTCCATTGAGCCTTAGAAATATTAACTCCATCTATCTCCATCATCTAAACTTGTTCGAACTTCATCCAACCTAGCACCTCCTCTAAACAGCCTAGCACCCCCTCCATATTAAGCCTTAGAAATATTAACTCCATCTATCTCCATCATTTAAACTTGTTCGAACTTCATCAAGCCTAGCACCTCCTCTAAACAGTCTAGCACCCTCTCCATTGAGCCTTGGAAAAATAACCAAATCTCCATCATTTAAACTTAATTGCACTAACTGCATCCAGCCTAGCACCCTCTCTATACAGCCTAGCACCCCCTCCATATTAGGCCTTAGAAATATTAACTCCATCTATCTCCATCATTTAAACTTGCTCGAACTTCATCCAACCTAGCACCTCCTCTAAACAGTCTAGCACCCCCTCCATTGAGCCTTGGAAAAATAACTATATCTCCATCATTTAAACTTAATTGCACTAACTTCATCCAGCCTAGCACCCTCTCTATACAGCCTAGCACCCCCTCCATATTAGGCCTTAGAAATATTAACTCCATCTATCTCCATCATTTAAACTTGCTCGAACTTCATCCAACCTAGCACCTCCTCTATACAGCCTAGCACCCCCTCCATTGAGCCTTAGAAATATTAACTCCATCTATCTCCATCATCTAAACTTGTTCGAACTTCATCCAACCTAGCACCTCCTCTAAACAGCCTAGCACCCCCTCCATATTAAGCCTTAGAAATATTAACTCCATCTATCTCCATCATTTAAACTTGTTCGAACTTCATCAAACCTAGCACCTCCTCTAAACAGTCTAGCACCCCCTCAATTGAGCCTTAGAAATATTAACTCCATCTATCTCCATCATCTAAACTTGCTCGAACTTCATCCAGCCTAGCACCCCCTCTATACAGCCTAGCACCCCCTCCATTGAGCCTAAGAAATACTCCATCTATCTCCATCATTTAAACTTGCTCGAACTTCATCCAGCTAGCTAGCCTAGCACCCCCTCTATACAGCCTTGCACCCCCTCCAATGAGCCTATCCATCTAAGGCCTAAGGTGATAAAGTGCTTAGATATTATGACGGCACTCATTTGTTTTGCTTGTACCTCTGACATTTTTACCTCTGACATTTTTTCCTCTGACATTTTTACCTCTGACATTTTTTCCTCTGACATTTTTACCTCTGACATTTTTTCCTCTGACATTTTTACCTCTGACATTTTTACCTCTGACATTTTTACCTCTGACATTTTTACCTCTGACATTTTTTCCTCTGACATTTTTACCTCTGACATTTTTTCCTCTGACATTTTTACCTCTGACATTTTTACCTCTGACATTTTTACCTCTGACATTTTTACCTCTGACATTTTTACCTCTGACATTTTTTCCTCTGACATTTTTTCCTCTGACATTTTTTCCTCTGACATTTTTACCTGGCACCATCCTGGACCCTATATAGCAACAACTCCATATGTAGCTATTGGTATACGGGTAATTTAACAGAACCAATTTCATATATCTTTCATCAATTATATCTAGCTAGGTGAAGGATTTGAAATGTGATTTTAAAGATATTCTTTCATAATCAGTAATGCAGGATCATACATGCACTTTTCTTTTCCCTCTCAAGACTTACATTACCATACACCTCACTGGTTATCAGTTGAGAAACGGGTCATCCCGGTAACAAAGTAATTTGCGTTCTAAAAAGTCAGAAAATCAGTAACTGAATAAGTGAAATAAGAGACATATCTGAAAATTATTAACTAATTATGAATTTCTAAATATTACAAATTTGCAAAGTGATGACACTGCCTGGCTTCCACATTTTCTACATACCTATTCCAAATATACATATTCATGTTCAGCATGGATAATTTTGAATGGTTTTGAAAGACCTTGAATGGATCATACCGGTAACTGTTTTTATATTGTTGTCGAGTTTTCTCGAACTGATGTGTTTCATTTTTCCATTTTCATAGCAAATAAGTTATTTTTAACTGGAGTATGTATTCATTAAGATATACTCATAATACTTTCAAAGCTTTGAATAATACCTCGCACAAAAGTACACAGATTTTGCAAACGAACACACTCCAGCACACACCCTAGGTTAATTAAGTCCAACATGTTATTTCACATATGGCAACGGAACATTCTCATCATCTGACCCTGTACTCTGGCACTCTTGGTCAACCGAAATTACAAAAATATAATGTTCAAGACTGCTCATAATCACTTGCCAGTTTTCAAATATGTAATTTATTGTAACGAACCTGTGACTGCCAACTACATGTATGTTTTCTTTCCCTTCAAACTTTGTTGAATCTTACTTTGTCATAGAGTCAACTCTGCTCAGTCAAGTAATCGTAAGTCAAAGGTTTTTAAAGTCCTGCTCTTCATTTTCCATTGCTTTTTTTTTTACCCAAGTCAGATTTTGTCTAGGTGAAATCTATATTTTTTCTATAGTCCCAACGGATTCGACTATGACAGAGTGAAGTGTACATGTCACTAATTTGTTTAAAGTGAATGGAGAACAATTATTATTATCATTATTTTTGATCTAGCAATTATGCAATTGATAGAAAGATCTTCACTTCACACCACCTTCTACACCATCCAGCCACGCACAATAAATATAAAGTATAATATAAGGATTAAATCAATTTCAAATAATTGGATTATAAGTATTGTTTTATTTAAAAAACAATGTACAGAAAAAAAAACATGACTGCATAATTGTCTAATTTTAAAGATACAGTACATGTATTAGGTGACTGATTTGCATGAATAAAATTCAATAAAAGGAGTACACAAAAAATCAAATAGTAACATTTTTGTGGTGTTCGGAGTTGAACTAGCTACAAGCATATTTGAAGGTATATTGTCCCCCTTTTATTAGTTAGTGTAATTTTAAAACCATTCATATTCCTCAAAAACCTGCAGATTTCATTGATTATTATCCTGCACCCAATTCTCACAATACGTCTGAAGTGATTGCACCTGTTTTACGTGCATCATAATATGTGTTTCTATGATAAAGACATCATTTTATTCTTTTTGTGTGTGCCTTGCCTTTACTTTTTTATGTATGTTTATAAGGTTCTTGCAAGCACTGCATCACTAATCAGCATGCCTGCAAAATGCATAAAATTGTTATGCTTTTGGTTCCAAAAATATGCTGAGAAAAACCCTATTTTTTAAAGTTATTTCATAAATATTTCTTGCAATTCTTTTACTATTCAGAAAAATATCTTACATAAATATTTGAGGTTATATTTCATATTAATTTCAGAGTCCTTTTTTTGGTTGCATTATTGGAGTGTTCCAAAACTGGGCAAAAATATAAAACAGGGGAAACGCTCTCGGCGGTGTCACCTGCATTACACAATTCAATATGATTAAAAATTGAGGTTAGGACATTATTTATAGGCAGGGTGGCCCGTTAGCAGGCCCCCCAAATTGAAATCCTCTGAATAAAATCGGCATTTGAAGTGAATATTGACTTAGAATCACCAAAGGAATTATTTACTCTAATTTTTACCAAGATTGATATCTTTAATGAAATAGGAACAAAAACCAAAAATTGATTTATTAAGTCTCATATTAAGTTGTGAAAACATAATCCAAGTCTACTGACCTAAAATATCCTTGACTTTGTGACCTGGAATTTGTGTCATATGATTTGTGATACTTGAAAATCCTTGGGTACAAGTTTCATGGAATTTAAACAAACACTTTTGAAATCATGATAACATTAAACAGGTCAACGCAAAGCGTAGCATCCCCTCGCAGGGTACAAATGGCCTATATACATCAGAACATTGGACTATATATTAATAGGCAAGAAACCACAATTTCACATATATAATTAGGTGTTTTGCATATTTAATGAGCTATGATTGGTGATACTTATTAACCCTTATGTTCAAGTTTCATGGAATAGGAATGTATACAAAATTATGATAAAAATTCAAAATCTTAACCTTTGGTCAAGTTTTGATGTTGATGCTACAACATACTTGAGTCAAAGTTTGTTCACCTGAAATGACCTTTGACTTTGCAACCTTAAATTCTACTCACATGATTGGGGATACTTTACAACCCCTATGTTCAAGTTTCATGGAAGAAGATTATACACTTTTAAAATTATGTTAAAAATTCAAAAACCTAACCCCGGGTTAAGTTTTTGATCATGATGCCACAA